TGAGGAAGGGTCACCGGACCCGAAACGTTAACTCTGTTTTTTCCTTCACAGATGCTGCCGGACCTGCTGAGCTTTACCAGCAACCTCTGTTTTTGTTCTAGGAAAGCTTTACTATTTTTATGCTCCATTCCTTCTGAAGTAAAGGCCAAGATTCCATTTGCAATTCCAAGAATTTGCATACTAGCTTTTTGTGATTTACGAACAAGAACTTCCAAATCCGACTGTGCTGTTCTTACCTGCAACCTTCCCCATTCAAATAACCTCCAGCTCTTCTATTCTTTGCAATAGTGCATTACTTTTTTCTTGTAAAAGCCTTGTAAAATAGGGTATTTCCTTCTGGACAGAGAACATGAAAGGGGATCTAGTAGAGAACAAATGTTGAAAGGTTAGATCAAATGTTCGAAGTATGGCAGAGACCGATGATTATTACTGGAAAAACTAGTGTTTAGCCCCAGGAGGATGTTGTGGCTCAAACCATAAGATGATTTAAGATGAAACTTGTTAAGTACTTCCAACAGAAGTGGAAGACAACAGGATGATTGGATTAGAGTAAAGTTGCCATAGTTCCAGAGGACCATAATCCTACTCTCTCATCAGAGAACGATGACTGGTGGTTTAACTTGAGGGTCACCACATCTCAGACAAGTGGGGATGTTGAGAAAGAAAACCTTTCATGGTAACCTTAACTGGTGTGGAAATTGAACCTATGCTGTTAACATCACTATGTTGTAAACTAGCCATCCAGCCAACTGAGCTAACTGACCCCTTAATTTGAATTAGAGTAACCTGTTGCTGTCACTTTAGTGATGGCAGAATAGCTTGTACAGACCAAAAGGCTCTAATGTACAGCCTAATGAATAAAATCAATGACATCATCAAGGTTTGTCTTTTCTCAAATAAGTTCATGTAACTAGCACAAGAATGCAATTGGAATGTTGAGATCACCCTGGTGATATTATAACAAAGTTCTATCCTGTTTTCACCAGTTGCAGGCACACGTCCAAAGGAGTTTATCAGAAGCAGGAGTTTTGGTTCATTTTTCTGCTTCCCCAAGCTTGGGTAGTTCAGGGCAATGGCAGCAACTGGAAGACCATCCAGTATGCAATCAGCTAGCTGTAGTATTATTCAAGAAGAGTTTTGGAGATAAACCAGGAAACTACAGGCCAGTGAGTCTCACATCTGCGGTAGGGAGATTATTGGAAAAAGTACTGAGGGACAAATTGATCTCCACGTGGAGAAACTGGGATTAATCAAAGATAGTCAGCATGGCTTTGTCCAGAGAATATTATGTCTAATAAATTTGATTGAATTTTTTCCAAAAGTGATGAGATGTACTGATAAGGATAGTGTAGTTGATGTGGTCTACGTGGACCTCTATGAGGCTTTGACTTGGTCTCACATGGCAGACTGTTGAAGAAGCTAGTACCCCATAGGATCTGGAGCAATTTGTAAAATTGGATCCACAATTGGCTTAGTGGCAGGATTCAAAGGGGGTTTTTGTAACTAGAAGCCTGTGTCTAGTGGTGTACCATAGGGTTTGGTGCTGCGTCCCTTTTTGTTTGTAATATACATTAATGATCACTTTGGTGATATGATTAAAAAAGAGGAAAGCCTACCGGATGATATCGATGGCTGAACAGTTTATCAAATAAAACTTAATCCTGAAAAGTGTTTCAGAGATAGTAGGAACTGCAGATGCTAGAGAATCTGAGATAACAAGGTGCAGAGCTGGATGAACACAGCAGGCCAAGCAGCATCAGAGGAGCAGTAAAGCAGGGTCATTTCTGAAGAAGGTTCTAGGCCCGAAACGTCAGTTTTCCTGCACCTCTGATGCTGCTTGGACTGCTCTGCTCATCCAGCTCTGCACCTTGTTATCCCTGAAAAGTGTGATGTGCTGTTTTGGGAGAGCTAACAGGGCACGGGAGTACGCATGGAATAGTGAGACCCTCGGAACTCGAGAGGTTCAGAGGGACCTTGGTGTCCATATTTCCTTGAAGGCAATAGGAAAGGTAGAAAGTGATTAAGAAGACATAGGGCATATTTGCCTTTATTAGTAAAGACATTGTAATTAATAGCAAGGCAGTTATGATGTAACTGTATATAACGTTAATGAGACTGCAGCTGGATTACTTTGTGCAGTTCTGGTTGCCACACTGTAGGAAGATTGCACCCTCTCTGGTAGATAATTAGAGGAGATTCACAAGAATGTTAGGTGGGCTGGAGCGATTCAGCTATGAAGAGAGACTAGAATAGAATCCCTATAGTGTGGAAACGGGCCATTTGGCTCAACAAGTCCACACCAACCTTCCGAAGAGCATCCCACCCCCCATCCTAAACGTATAACCCTACCCTGCCTATCCCTGGACACTAGTCTGCCTATCCCTGGACACTATGGACAATTTAGCATGGCTAATCCAACTAATCATTGGACTGTGGAACACCCAGAGGAAATCCACACAGACACGGAGTTTGCACCAATTCCACACAGACAGTTGCCCAAAGGTGGAATTGAACCTGGAGCTATGAGGCAGCAGTGCTGACCACTGGGCCACTGTGCCACAAGATAAGCTGGGGTTGTTTCCCTTAGAAGAGGAGGCTAAGCGGGGATCTGATTGAGGTGTATGATATTATGAGGGGCATAGATATTGAATTGAGTTAGCTTTATTGTCACATAAGGTAGACAGGGAGAAACTTTCCCTTTAGCAGAGGGTCAATAACTAGACAGGCACAATTTTAAGCTAAGGGAATTGAAGAATTTTATTTTTTAAGCCAGAGGGTGGTGATTAGCTGGGACTAACTGCCTAAGGAAGCTGATAGAGGTGGGAATGCCATAGCATACAAGTGCTGGAAAATGGGGTTATAATAGATAGATGCCTGATGACTGGCACGGACATAATAGGCTAATGGGCCCTTCTCCATGTTGTAAAATCTCTCTGACTGTGATCCATTCTCGAAGCTTCCCAGTTGGCTTAGCTTTTTACTAACTGATTGTTAGAGCAGAGCAAGCAATATTTCATCCATTACACCATTCCCCTCACTTTGTTTCTGTTTTTCAACAGCATAGATTTATCTTTTCTTTCAGACTTTGTGTTCTTGGTAAGAAAGTGACCATCTCAGATCTTTCTCAATGCAAAGATGATGACTTTATGCAGAAGATTGCCACGTTTCCTGGGGAAGAAGATGAAGAGGCAGAGAACGGTGTGATTGTTACTGAAGGCATTGTTGAGGAATACCTAGCAGTTGATCACCGAGAGTTGTTAGTATCAAGGGAACACTTGTTGTTTAATAACCAATTGCATGACTTCTTGGATTGGCACTAACAAAACATTTGCTGTTTGGTGAGCTGCTAAAGCTTAATCTCTGTCCAGAGTCCTGATCACGAGCAACGCTTCTGATGAAAGTTGGGGCTCACTCTTCCATCTCTTCAACAACAGCTTCAGCTTGTATTTATGAGTAAATTTAATGTAGTGGATCATTCCATTACAGGGGAGTTGAGCAATGTTTTTAGTCAGAAGTTGTTGAGAGTCTGGAACTACTGCATATAAAAAGTACTTGGATATGCTGATGAAATGCTGTAATCTACAGGGTGACAGCACAAGAGCTGGGAACTGGAATTCGGTTAGACAGCACCTTTATGGCAAGCAGATGTAGTAAGCCAAATAAAAACCAAAGGAACTGGGGATGCTGTAAATCAGAGACAAAAATAGAAATTGCTGGAAGAGCTCAGCAGGTCTGGCAGCATCTGTGGAGAGAAATCAGAGTTAACATTTTAGGTCAAGTGACCCTTCAGAACTGTATATAGTGAGCCAAATAGATTAAATTTTCTTTTTAAGAGTACACATTTTTAAATCCGGCTTCTTGTCCCAGAAAATTACATTCCTCAGACTCTTGAGCTCATCCAAATTCTCTGTTCATATAAATACTTACTATAGTAATCAAATAGATTCCGGCTAAGGTCATTGGATAAGAATCAAAAATGAAAATCCTGTGTGATTTCACCAACTGCTCTATTCCCATTGCTGCCTGCACCATGTATCTCACTAATCTAAACACAGGTGCTGAGATTAGCTGATTTAGCCCAGGTAGGGATGCAGTGGTGTAGTGATAATGTTACTGGACTAATAATGCAAAACTCCAGGCAAATGTCCTGGGCACATGCATTCGGCATGTGTCCAGCCAGCGACGCCCACATCCCACAAATGAATAGAAAAAAAATCCCATCATGGTAGATAGTGGGGAAAAGAAAATATTTTGACACTGGTAAAATCCATATTTAGGCCTTTGGGCTGTAGGCTTTCCTGCTCCTCTGATGCCGCTTGGCCTGCTGTATTTCTCCAGCTCCACACTGTGTTATCTCTAACTCCAGCATCTGCAGTTCTTACTATCTCATCGTAGATAGTGGAATTTGAATTCAGCAACATTCTGAAATTTAAAAATTAGCCTGCAGTATAACTATTGTTAGTTGTCATAAAAATCCACTTGATACACTCCTGTCCTTTAGGAAAGCAAATCTGTCATCCCTAGCTGATCTGGACTACATGTGATTCCAGACATAGAATGATGTAGTCTCAACTACCTTCTGAAATCAATTCAGGATTGGTAATAACACTGGTCTGTTCAGTAATACCCAAATCGCATGAATGAATAAACAGAAGTGTACAGAAATCTAACTCTGATTCTCTTCTGTAGCCTCCAGCTTTTCCCACTGAAAAAAACAGGAATGTGCAGGGGATAAATGGTTTAAACAAAAACTAAAACTATTCTCTAATATCCAATTCAGTTAACAAAAGCAAGATAAGAGGTGAATGTGGTATAATTAGTGGTGTTAGTGGCAGACATTTCCAAATTATTCTGAAATCTAGTCATGCTTGTGTTTTAGACACCTGGTGGTCTATAGGTGCTTTGGTAGAAGTCAGGGTAAGTAAATAAAACAAAGAACTGTGGATGCTGAAGATCTGAAACAAAAACAGAAATTGCTGGAGAAACTCAACCGGTCTGGCATACTCGGTGAGGAGAAAGCAGACTTGACATTTCGAGTCCAGTGACGCTTCTTCGGCACTTCATCAAATGAAGAGTCTTTGGGTTTGAAACATTAACTCTTATTCCTACCTACAGATGTTGCCAGACCTGCTGACTTTTACCAGCAATTTCTGTTTTTGTATTAGGGTAAGTGAATTTTTTTCTTTGCAAGTTAATTTCCTCTGTTTAATATTTTGTGCCATACATCTACATAGGGAAGACGACTGTGAGAAGTTGGCTCCTACTTTGCAAAATGAAAGCAGACTGGGGCTACCTCCAGTGTCTCCGAGTCACTGCAGGAGAAATATAATCGTGGCAGAGCTCTTTGATGAGGTGTGGCTGGAAGTCCTGGGTTGCATGGAGGAGCTGATCCGGAAGCACTGGGAAGGGCATGTTTCAGGTATAATGGCAACTGAACTAGACATAAAACATTTTGAAAATTGAAAAAGGGATCAGGAATGTACTGCCTGGGTAGGTAGTTCAGGCAGGAAAACTCTCAACCTTTAAGAAATGCTCAAATGAGCACCTGAACTATCATAATGTTCAAAACCATGTCCAACCACTTTGAATGGGTGTCCACAATGACTAAGAACATTCCACTCACAAAAATGTGAGTTTGATGTGTGTCTGAGCCCAGAGTTTACCCAGCCATTCCCATGAATATGGGGGAGCTGCTGGCGGTCCTGCCCCACCAATGCAGCTATGTTGGCATCCATTCCTAGCCCACCAGATGTAACCTCTGCGAACACCTTCATTTTGGAAACCCCTGGTGAGTCTCCATGCTGTAGAGACTGGCTTCAACCTAGCTTGTCAGAGTCCATGTACTGTTCACATGTAAATAAAGGGTGATTTGGTGACTGGATACCGGCCTCGCTGCAGTTATTTCAGTTATCTTTAGTGATGGGAAACATGAGTTCTTGATGGACTTCCAAGAGGACATTATATCACATGGACACCAAATATCAGGGAATGGGTCTGGTCATTACTGGTATGAAAGATCTATGATTTTTAATTTTGCTGTGGTTGGTTCTCTCGCCTAGCCGGTTCATTAGTTCACATTGTTAGTGCGAACTAATGAACCAGCTCAGCGAGCAAACCAACCACAGCATCCACAACCTACTCAAGAACTACAAATCTACTCAAGAACCTTAGATTTTTAATTTTCAACATTCCTCTTCTCTCTTGGGGTTCTAATTCAACAAGCATTGCTCACCATCCAAGACACTTCTTACCAGTTCCGACATTTTATTCATTCACAGTGACACACACAACATAATTTCTTGCAAAGATCACAGAATCAAACTTGAGGCCCTTTGGCCCACTGCCAAAAATGTACTCCTACCTACACTAGTCCTGCTTTCCCGTAGTAGGCCTGTGGTTTTGAACATTACGATAGTTCAAGCGCTCATCTGAGCAGTTCTTAAAGGTTGAGAGTTTTCCTGCCTCAACTACCTACCCAGGCAGTACATTCCAGATCCCACCACCTTCTAGGTAGAAAAAGGATTTTCTCAAAATCTCTTCTAAACAAGTAGGTCATTGGGGTGGCTGGAACATGCATTTTACCCTTTTAAGGCATACACCTGCCTGGGAGAAATGTTTAAGCACTATGTCCAAGTTCTCCAAGTGTTCTTTATTGGTACCCGCTTATTAGCACATCATGCAGACAAATAGTAACCTGGGACAGACCTTGTAAAATGTTCTCCATCATCTCTGGAGGCTGATGAAAACCAAACTGGCAGTCTTGTGTATTGGTACAAACTCTTATGAGTATTAATTGTGCATCCTTCTGGGACTGCTCATCTAGTTGCAATTGCAGGTAGGTGTGACGTCTAGTTTTGTGAAAGACAGCCCCTCCACCAGTTTTTTGCATACAAGCCCGGATCCTGAAGAACATTTTAGCCATTTGGCCGAGACTTGGCTTTGTTTTGGGGTTTTGCTGTGGACTGAGCCAGGGTCCCTCTGCTCAGGATGTGCCCTGCATGAGGCTCTGCAATCGGCTACACTCAAATGGTCCGTGGAGCTCAGTTGGATGGGTGAGAGTGTCCACTTCCATTGGGATGCCTGTTATTCACATGTTCCACTTTGCATATTTTTTTAAAAACAAAGCCAGTTGCAGTTCCTGTTTGAAGGCCAGTTGGGCTTCAGCTAGTAGGCGTGTTTGCATGGTTACGTCATTAATCCCACATGCCAAATGGTCTCTCACCTCGTAACATCATCAAAAATCCCAACACTGGTTCCCCTGGTTCTCAAATGGCCGAATAAAACTGATAGGGTTTCAGAATTAGAGGAGCTTGGGATTGTAAGATGCCTTAACTAAATACGTCAACTCTTGAAAGATTTTAGTATCTGGTGCCTCAGGGAAAGTCAACCGAAAATGCTGTACGTCTGCAAGCAGTTGGAAGGATTACTCGTTGCTTTTCATCTGTTCCAATGTTATTTTGCCTGGAAAATATTAACACATTCTTTCCACTTGCGGGCCCAGTGTTTGAAGGCAGGATCGAACAAGTCCAACTTCGCAAGTAGCAGCATGACACCAGAAACACTTACCCCAACTCAAAGACAGCTGTTGTGAGCAAATTTTCTTCAGGAGAATACTGTTTTCTCTCTTGAAATAGCTGTGCAGAGGCTAGTATCCTGTCACGGTACGTTGTCTCTGACCAGCTAGCTTAGAGTCAGTCCTCAGAGTGAGCAATCTTTCCGAGACTCCTGCTTTAATCTGTCAGCTAGGGCTCCCTGATTTGCCAGGTTAACAGCAGCAATCAGAGATCTCATACTCAGTGAGATCCATCAAGTCAATCTTGTTCCAATCACTAAAACATCCTTCTGCCTGATACCAGTCTCGAGTTGAATCAGCATGCTTACAACCTTAGAACCCTGTCTGACCCTAAGCTGAGTTTATAAACCCCTATCCTTTCTAGTGCCAAGATCATCATCTTTCACTTTTGTAACATTCCCCCACCTTGATTTCTGTCTGAGTTAATCTGCTGCTTGAAACCTTTCTTATGCCTTTTTCACCTTCAGACTTAACCAATTCTAATGCCCTTTTCACTGACCTTTCATGAAATATTGAAATATCTACTTCATATTCCTTACTGATTCCCAACACCTCCAATTTTAAATTCTCATCCTCGTGTACAAATTCTTCCAGGACCTTCTTGCCCCATCTCTGTAAGTTTCAAGTTTCTCCATTATTAGAAGGCTCTGTGTATTTTGCATTCCTAAGATTCTGGCCTCTTAGGCATCCTTTCCCATCGCCTTGCCTTGGTCAATCGAGTGTTCTCAGCCTCTCACTCTGAAATTTCTTCATAATCACCTGAAATTTCCTGTCTTCCAAGCCCACCTCATTGACCCAACTCAGTCATCCCTCCTCAAATCATCTTTCTCAAGTCATGATAAACTTTTAACATAGTGTTCTTGAGAAACACATTTGATTATAATTATTTTTAAAGATGCTGTACCAATAAGAAAGAAAATGAGGAAGATTTAAATTATATAATGTCTGTTTTGGTTACTTATGGTTTAAACTAAAGGAAAGGAGTATTCCCAGAATTGCCTTCATATTAAATACAAACAATTGTAATAATTTGGATATAAATTAACCTATTAACAAAACTTTTAAATTTGATCTCCGGAAACATTAACTTAATTTCATCTGTGTATCTCTGCAGGAGTTGTGGGATATTTCTGAGTATTCTGGGTGGTGGCTCAGGGTTGAGTGCCTTTTTTTTAAATAAACTTTTAAGGCCAATATTACTTTATCAAATGTAACTTCACTGACCATCAATGGCAATCCTCCCTCCAAGACAGAGGCTCACTAGCAATGTTGGTGGACTGCATCGCCTGCATAAAATGTTGAGCTGCATTGGAAAATTAAATAACTAACATTAATACCTCTGTCCTACAGCTTGCCTGGTACATTCCATTTTGTGCAGCCATTCTTTAGCCATCCACTTTGCACTTGATTTTTGCCTGACTTCATATTGAGGACACCTTCTGCTGTGTTGTACGGTACTACTACAGTATTGTGTTGGATAGAGTTTGGCACTGTGAGCCATAGCAGCAGAGTTGTTTTTGACACAATCTGTAACATTGTACGTCAGCATATCCACCACTTTACCATTACCATCAAGCTGGTGAACGAACTCTGGTTTGATTGAAAACTGCAGGAGGACATGCCAGGAATAGCATCAAGCATACTGAAAATGAGGTGTCAGTCTTTTGAAGCTACAACACAGGCCTACTTGATATATGTCTGAAATCACATGGGGTCTAGGTCAAGCTTAAAGGAAGAAACTGTTCGTACTGGTAACAGGTTTGAAAGTCAGTGGACACTAATTAAGGTGATTAACAAAAGAAGACATGGTGGCATGAAGAAAGAGCTTTTTATGTAGTGAGTGGCATTCGAGGGCATTGGATGATCCTTTGGTGTGCAGGATTTGGGCAAAGGCAATATGACTGGTGTAGGCATGATGGGCTGAATGGGCCTCTTTCTGCACTGTAATGACTCTGTTATTCTAAGTGGTTAGGATCTGGAATGCACTGTCTGAGAAAGTGCTGGAGCCAGATTCCACGGAGACAAAAATAACTTTAAGAAGAGGCAATGGCACAATGGTGTTGTACTAAAAATAATCTGGAGACCCATGGTGAAATTTGAATTCAGTTAATAGGAATGGATTTCAAAGCACGTCTTATGGTGATCATGAAGCCTTGTTGATTGTCCTAAAACAAAAAAAAACCTCTGGCTGACTGATAACCTACATGCGACTCTAGTCCCGAAGCAATGAGATTGATTCTTTAGTGCCTTCTGAAGTGGCATTTCCAATATTATTATATTCAACCTTGATGATTAAGACTGATCTTTATGCAATCTGTGTGTTCTGCAGATGAAGAGAAGAGCACTGCCTCAGATGAAAGTGCAGGAATCGAGCCCAAAAATTTGTTCTTGCCTCTCGAACCGCAGCCATCGCAAGTTCAAGTGCCAGCTTTGAGCTCTTATTTAACAAAATCTCAGGTTAGTGTGGACATATGGACAGAATTAAAAGTACAATGCAGAGTGGAATTTAAATTTAATTATTAGTTAGGCCACAATTAAGGTACTGAACACAGTTGAGATAATCGCCCCACACCGATCTGGGAATGTGGGAAAATGTGAGATTATGCACTTCAGCAGAAAGAATAGAAGAGCTGAATGTTATTTGAATTAGGCTTATTGTCCCGTGTGCTCAAGTTACAAAAGAACAGTGCAGTGAAAAGTGTACAATACAGTATATTGGGCGTGTACTGAATGGAGTTTAGAAAAATGAGAGGCAGCCTTATTGAACCATATAGGATTCTTAGGGCTTGACAGAGTAGATGTTTAAAGGTTTTGTCCTCTAGTCGAATCTAGGACCAAAGGATATAATTGTAAAGTAAGGAATTGCCCATTTAAGACAGGGATGAGAAGGAATTTCTTCTCTAAGTATAGTAGAAGTCTTTCCCGCAGCAAGCTGTTGAGGGTAAGCTGTTACGTATGTGCAAGGCTGAGATAGAAGGAATCAAAGATTATGAGGAAAAGACAGGAAAGTGGAGTTGAGAATTATCAGTTCAGCCATGATCTTATTGAATGGTGGTGCAGACTCATTGGGCCAAATGGCCTACTTCTGCTCCTCCATCGTATGGTCGTACAGAATAGAAGTGACATTGCAGAAATAGGTGGAAATCCGGAATTAGAGCTAAGGGAGGAACTCAAGAAAATTACAACTACCAGGGAATCGGTACTGTGCAAATTGTTGGGGCTGTGGGCAAACAAGTGTCCAGGTCCTGATGCAAATCAACATAGGGCCTTAAAATTTTTGCATTAGCTTTAATTTTCCATAGTTTCCTGGATTCAATGAATGTTCCATTTGAACAATAAATATGAAATGAAATTCCTTTATTCAAAAAGAGAGAGAGAGACAAAAAGCAAGACCAGCCAGTTAGCTTAACATCTGTCATAAGGAATATGTTTGAAGCTGCATGGTACTAAGGTAGAGTCAACATAGTTTTATGAAAGGGAAAGTATGTTTAATCATGCTTACTGAAATTCTCTGAGGAAGTCACATGCAGTCCTCGGATTTCCAGGAACCAATTAATAAGATGTTATGTGAATGTTATTGCAGAAGATTAAAGCTCATTGTATAGGGGAAAGCATATTGACATGCCTAGATAACAGGAAGTAGGTGTAATTTGTTCTTTTCCAGGTTGGCAAGGTGTAACCAGTGGTGTGCTTTTTACAATTTATATAAATGACTTGGATGAAGGGACAGAGGCATGGTTGTAAATTTTAACAAGGATGACATAAAGAAAGATAGAAAAGTAAGTTGTGAAGAAGACATTTCATAGCTATAAAGTGATATATGTTGGTTAATTGAATGGATAAATAAATGCCAAATGGAATGTAATGTGGGAAAATGCTGAAATTATCCACTTCTGTGGGAACACACTGAAAAGGAAGCATGTTATCTAAATTGTGAGAGATTGTAGAACTGAGATGCAGAGGGATTTGGGTTTCTTGTTGCATTAATTGCAAACTGTTAGTATGTAGGTACAGAAAGTAATTAAGAAAACTAATAGAATCTTACAATTTTGAGGTAATTGAATACAAAAATGGGCCTGCTTCAGTTGTACAGGGTTATACAGGTAAGATTACTTCTACAATCTCATGTTTACAATGTTGCTCACCTTCTTGAAGGAAGGTTGTAACTGAACTGGAAGCAGTTCAGAGAAGCTTAATGGATTCATGCCTGAAATTGATAGACTGTCCTCTGACAAAATGTTGGACAGGCGAGGCTTGCATCTTCTGGAGTTCAGATGCGTAAAATGTAACTTGATTGAAACATGTGAGATCCTGAGGTGGCTTGGCAGGGTGGAAATGAAAAGAACATTTTCTCTTATAGGAATATCTAGTCACTGTTTTATTAATATGGTGTTGCCCATTTAAGACAAAGATAAGGAGGATTTTTTGTCTCAAAGGGTTGTGATACTTTGGAACTCTCTTCAAAAGTGATGGAAGCAGAGATACATGAGCCCTGAGCTGACCGACCAGTTACAACTGCGCTGCCACCAGCGCCAGATGCACCAACATTGGAGTTGCCATTCTTCAAGCACCATCTGTTTGTCCCTGAGCCCACCATCTGACAGGCTGCTGATGCCGGGTCCCGTGCTGGATCCACACTTGCCTCACAACCAGGAGGCCCTGACTCTGTTGCTGCCACTGCCCCGCTGACAACCAGAAGACCCTGGCTCCAGGCGTACAACAGCCAGGAGCTGCTGCCACCACCACGCCGACAACGAGGAGTGCCTGTTTCAGGCCTACAGCAACCAGGAGTCCCTGGCTCCATTGCCATCGCCACCTCAACAAAGCCTGGAGTCCCTGTACCGGGTCCACCACAACCAGGAGTCCTTGGCTACACTACCAGGCCAGGCCACCGCCTTGCCAAGAGTCCCACTCCGCTGCTCCTCTTGGTGATGTCACCCACCCTCCCACTGCCGACAGGAAGAAGATGAATAAAAAGTAACAATGAAGTAACAGAGAAGCTTGATGAAGGGAATGCAATGGATGTTGACTGTGTGAATAGTTTTAAAAAGTGATTTACAAAGTATGACATAGAAGTCTGGTAAACAACAATTTAAGGCTATTGGAATGGTGTCAATGTAAGCTTGGATAATTAATGGGGCTTAAGGACAGAAAAGAGGAGTAAAAAGGAGACAATACATAAGGAGTTTTCAGACTGAAGGGAAGTAGATGTGTTTTCTGAGGGTCAATGCAGGGACTACATTTTTTTGATTATATGAATCACTTGAATATTGGATTTTAAAATTTCAGGGGCCCAAATCTTCTCATCAGGATTGGAAATCCTATTTCTGATCCTGATGGAACAAAGGAAATGTAGTTTGAGAGTTCTCCGTTATAAAGTCTGTATATTTTATTTGTCTATAGTTTTAACTGTGGACTGAGATGGGAAACTTACTATTTTAAAAATCAAGGATTGTTGACGGATTGCTACACTTTTTTTTAAAGCAAGTTACCTGCCATTCTTTACACAGCTGTTTGTTCAGGCAGTAGGGGAAGTTACAGTTGCAGAAGAGCTGGAACCAAGGGATCTGTATTGGTGGAGTTTCAGCTAGCAACAAGTAACTGATTGGTCTATGGACTAGTGATCAGTTGTCGATGATAAAGGCCTTCTGCCTTCCGACAGCTATGTGATTGACTCCCAGATAACTGAACAGCTTGAGTATGTAAAAAATACAGAGAGAAGCTATTAGATCTCCGTAAGGCCAAGAGCCTTGTCTTCTGTCTGCTCTGAAAATCACCTGGAGCCTGAAGAAATCTAGGTTATTTTTTCCGTTAGCAGTTGCTAAAAGATGTAGATATTAATCAGTAAGCCAGCGAACCAGACATTTTACTTGCAAAAATAAAAGTAGTTGAAGAAGAAGGATCAGAAGTCAAAACCACCCTCTCAGTGAACCCTGTAAACAGGACTATTGATCTGCCTTCCCTGTCTTTCCTTCTGCCTGTAATACCCATGTTTGTGATTTTAGGCTGTGTCTGTTTGTATGTAAAGTCACCATTGTCCTACTGGATCATAGGGCTGCTCCCTCAGTAGATGGAGATGACTGGCGGTCGTTTAACTGGTGGGTCACTGTGGTTTGGGAGTAGGGGAGTCCTTCATGGTAACTTCAGGTGCAGGAACTGAACCCATGCTGATGGCATCATCCTGTATCTCAAATCAGCCATCCAGCCAACTGAGGTTGGATGTGCATGTAAGGAGAAGTTTATAAGAGGGTTAAAGTTTTAACTGGTAGAGTTTTATGTCCATGGTTCATAATTGTTTATCTGTAGTTAAAATCTATTTATTTGTCTGAATAGTCATTCTTTCAAGTGTAGAAACCTGCTTTTTGCCAACCTAGATCTAAAAGACAGGCAAATTGGAGAATTATGCATACTTCTATTAAATCTTTAGTTTTTGTGATTTCAGGAATAGTAAGGTTTGACTTCCAGTGTGCTAAATATCTGGATTGGGAGCATTCTTAGCTAAGGCAGTCTGGCATTGTTCAAGAATCCACACCAGCAGCAGCAAAGTAAATTTTTGTTAAAACCATGCCCCTTTTTCATAACTGCTGTTTTCCAGGATTTAAAAGTTGTCAGCAATTTCAGAACTACTGAGTGAAGGTGAGTATCCAAGTTAAGTGAGGAGGTAAGGTGTCAGGTAAGTGAGTGAGTACTTGGGGGAGGTCATGGGTGTTGGATGGGGTCGAAAGGCTGTCAGGACATGTTCATTTTGGGGGCCCATTATTGGGTGAGGGTGCACTCCGGTCAGATTAGATTTGGGGGGGATTGGATCTGTGAAAGGATAGGGTGGAGTTGGAGGGTGTTCTGGGGAGAAGTCCAGAGGAGTTGGTGTTGGATCTGCCAGAGATTGTAGGCAAGATATCAGGCGGAGCCAGGATTTGGGGTGGTCGGGTCCAGTGGGTTTTTGGGTTAGGATTGAGTTGGGTCCACCAAGGTGGAGAGCCATATCTGGAATGTTGAATATTGAGGAGGATTGAACTAGTCGGCTGCCATGTGGGGTTAAAAGGTGTCACTTGTGGGCCAGGTACAGTCAGTTTAAGGGTTATCCAGGAATTAAAGCAGGCCTTGTTTCTTCTGACATTTTTCCTGGGTAACTATCAAGCAAAGATAGTCAGAACCTTCAAGATCTCCGATTCTAAATCGGAGTTGGGGTCTTTTCTCGAGCTTTCCATTGGAAGTTTCAACTTCCAGGGCAGTTCCTGGGGAGTCAGCTTTTTCATACTACTGTTCCTCTGTTCAAGAAGGGGAAATAGGGATAATCCAGAAAACTACAGATAGGTGAGTCTCACGTCGGTGGTTATTGGAGACAATTCTTAGGGATAGGAATTACGGACATTTGGAAAAGCATGGCCTAATTAGAGACAGTCAGCATAGCTTTGTGCAGGGCAGGTCATGTCTTACTAACTAGGTTGAAATTTTTGAGGAGGTGACCAAGGTGATCAATGAGGGTAGACCAGTGGATGTTGTTTACGTGCATTTTAGTATGGCTTTCGACAAGGTCCGTCATGGTAGTGTTATAAAGCAGAGGTTGATCCCCCGCTGAGAACTAAAACTGAAACACAAAGAGGAGCACCTCGACCTATAATCTGTAAAAGGAGTGTGAAGTGGTGTAACCTGCTTTTGAGCAACTTCTAGTGGTTAAATAAAATAAATTTCTAACACTCACTTTGAAATCAATGAATAACAATTTATTTATCTAACTCTAACAATGAACAAATTAACTAAACTACTAACAAACAGAATAAATCCCTTCTAACTACTAACTGTTCCCAAATACAGCAAGATTCTAATGGTATGCTGGAAATACAAGTCCCACTTTATATATAAAAAAATAGAATTCCATCTCTGGAAATTACAGCTAGGTTACGTGTCTTTTGGAATATTCTGTGCCTTCTCTATCAATTCTTCTGTCAGGAACATTAACTAGCTGTGCCATTGGTACTGTTGCTATTTAGATGGCGCTTTCTCTAAGACTTGAAGGAAGCTGTGAGCCAGCGATTCTCTTTTGAGGGCTGAGAGCTGTTAGCTCTAGTGGATGGCAGTTAGCTATGTGCCTTTGTCCAGCTGCTGCCTTCTTTTATACCCTTCATGACGTATCAATATTTCTTAGATTAGGATTGGTCCTATGTTGGCAAAACCATCAGATTTAAATTTAGTTGTTTTTTGGTATCTCAGTGGTTGGTTCAAATTGATTGCCTAAATTCAAAATCCTGTTGTCTTGGTAAAAATTGCTGCTTGGCCTGCTAACTGTACAGCCTTTTGATACAAATGTTTCAATTTGGGTGCTTTCTGTGTACTTGAAAACTTTCAAGCTGCTCACAGGCATCCATTTTAAATCTCTAAGCACCGAAAAAGCACACCACCATCTTTTAAAGGGACCGTACAATGCTTTCCCCTGTAGCATTTTACAAACACCAAATTCTAACTTCCTGGCTGCCAATCCACAAGTACTGTACCCAACTTCGCAACAGTAGGCTCATCCAGAAGATTAAGATGCATGAGATCCACAGTGACTTGGCCATGTAGATTCAGAATTGGCTTGCCCACAGAAGGCAGAGGGTAGTGGTGGAAGGGTGATTTTCAGGCTGGAGGTCTGTAACTAGTGGTATTCTGCAGGGATCCGGACTGGGACCTCTGCTGTTTGTGATATTTATAAATGACCTCGATGAAAATGAAGATGGCTTTGTTAGTAAGTTTGCAGATGATACAAAGATCGGTTGATAACAGTGTGGAGCTGGAGAAACACAGCAGGCCAGGCAGCATCTGAGGAGCAGGAAAGTTAACGTTTCAGGCCGGGACTCTTCTTCAGAAATGGGGGAGGGGAAGGGGGCTCTGAAATAAATAGAGAGAGGGGGGTGCAGTGATAGCAGGTAGATAGTGGAGCAGATAGGTGGGAGAGAAGATGGACAGGTCAAGGAGGTGGGGATGAAGCTGTAAAGGTGAGAGTAGGTGAGAGATGAAGTGGGGATGGGGATTGGTCAGTGAGGTGGGAGGAGCAGATAGGTGGGAGAGAAGACAGACAGGTCAAGGAGGTGGGGATGAGGGGAGGGCTGGTTTTGGGATGAGGTAGGGAGTGGGGAGATTTTGAACCTAGTAAAGTCCACATTGAGACCATTGGGTTGTAGGCTTCCAAGGCGGAATATGAGGTGCTGTTCCTCCAGTTTCCGGGTGGCATCGTTGTGACACTGGAGGAGGCCCAGGATGGACATGTCGTCCAGGGAGTGGGAGGGGGAGTTGATGTGGTTCGCGACTGGGAGGTGTTGCCATTTGTCGCGAATCAAGCGTAGGTGTTCCATAAAGTGGTCTCCGAGCTGCTGCTCGGTCTCCCCGTTGTAGAGGAGGCCACATCGGGAACAGCTATACAATAGACCACATTAGCAGATGTGCAGGTGAACATCTGTCTGATGTGGAAGGTTTCTTTGGGACCTGGTATTGGGGTGA